TTAGGGCGGGGCTACACGGTGATTGACAGGTCTCTACCAGAGACGTAGACGGCGTCTCTTCGTCACTCCTCCTCAGTCCAGATATGGTCACTTCCTGTTCACTGGTTGCCAAAAAAAAAAAAACGGCGACGGTCATAATCCAAGATGGCGACGGCCAAATCGCCGAACTCGAGGCTTCAAAACATCCACAAACTAATGGATTACGTGTTCCTTTTACTTATATACTTAGATAATATAATTACTTCATTAAAGAGTTTAAAATGAGTCTGATAGTTTAAAACATGCGATTTGTTTTGGTTGTCGAATAAACTTTTAAACTTGTTGATTTGTGAGTAAATATTCATCCGGGATGATGAGCGGACACGTACGTGTTGTTACGTTACGCTTCCTGTACCTGCTCGGTCCTCATCAGGTGTGTTCAGGCGTTTCTCTCTGACGGAGGAACGTACTCCAGACCAAGATGAGCGAATATCTCCTCCTCTGACGAAGCTCTCAGGTATCTGCTCTGTAGGAATAGTGATTCAAAGAGACAAACTATGAGCTGTGCAAGAAAGGAGACGCATTACATGAGCTGAATGGTTCAACGTGTTCTCAAACAGCGCTTCTTATATCTGAAGAAAAAGTTACTCCTCGTTTTTTGTTCGTTTACCTAGGAAAGTCCAGCAACACGAGTCAATTTCTGCTCATTACATGAAAAATATAAAATATAAACAAATACAAAATAAGCTTCCATCTTCACAGGAAACAAAAAGATCATCAAATACGTAGTTAGGTTTAAGAAAAGATCGTGAAATACGTAGTTAGGTTTAATAAAAGATCGTGAAATACGTAGTTAGGTTTAATAAAAGATCGTGAAATACGTAGTTAGGTTTAAGAAAAGATGGTTTGGGTTAAAATAATTCCTGTTCTTGTTTGAACAATCCACCTCCCTTCCCAACCGCCCTTTGTGGTTTTATTTGCAGTCTTTCTACTTCCTGGTTCATGATTACATGAATTACACACATAACACATTCACTTTGGTAGTTATATCTACAGAGAGGCCCACCTGATTGTTATCGTACAGAGCGTGGCTGCTCAGAGACATGGCCTTCTCGTGATCCGCCCAGCGTCGCAGCTCTCTCTCGAACAGCTGCAGAGAACGTGGAGTCAGTGAAGGCCTTGTTCACCATCAGAACATCTTACAGTAGGTCACTTATGAGCGGTCACCTTGGACCCGGTCCAGCCCAGCAGAGCGAAAGCAAACTGGCTGATGGGAGAAACCACCAGGTCCACTCTCACAGCTCTCCACGGCTTCGGTCCTTCACCTTTGACCTGCGACGCGGCTGCAGGACTGCTGCACAGCTCCGTCTCCTCGGCTCCTCGTCTCGCCTCCTCGGCTCCTCGCCTCGCCTCCTCGGCTCCTCGTCTCACCTCCTCGGGCAGTTTGAAGACGGAGAAACACCTCTCGAAGCGGTCCATGTTGGAGGAGGGCCGGGCAGCACCATCCTTAGCCTCCAGGTAAGAGTTTCTGGTGGTTTTCTGGTACAAGAGGAAACCCTGGAGAGACAGAAAGCTGTTACTGTGACGTCCAGACGATCAACGCTCTGAGCCACAAAACCCAATGGCGGGATTGAAAAGCGTGTTTTCTTTAAACAATCGCCAAAACAACACCGTTTATCACAGCTGGAAGCTGTAAAACCCGACATTATGGTCAGATTTTTATCTTTCCAACGGTCCTTGAACACATCATGTGTGCCTAACGCCTCCGTCAGAAAAAGCAACAAAAACGAAGCTTAAAATTGTGATATTTCAAGAAAAAACTATATTCTGCAAGTCTCATTTAAAATGCATGATGGTTCATCACAGGACTTTTATTTTGAAATGAAAATCAAGGCCACAGAGAGAAAAATGTGACAGGAGCAAAAAAGGAGGGTTAAAAAGAAGCACCTTCAGGGGAACAAGTTGACATGAGACTCAGAATCTACCTGAGAGTCCAACCAGGAGACGACTTTAGGCATCAGCCCCACCTCTCTGCCCTCCTCCGGGTGCGTCATCAGGAAGTCAACGTCATGGCCCGTCAGCTTCCCTCTGGAGAGACGGTGCCGTTGAATAACATGTTTAAAGTGAGTGAAATGAAAGGTAAAGATGAAAGATAAAGTCCCACCAGAATACAACAATAACCTTTATTAATATTAGTTAAATTCATTAAAGCAAACTGGACACAGATAAGCGGCACTATATGTAGTTATTTAAGATTCTTTACTATGAGACAGATTATTTTATAAGAGTATAAAACGTCTCCCGACAGCCTGCAGACCACATCCAGAAACATTCAATAACCAACAGAAGATATTTAGCACTTTTGTAAACTAAATTTAAGATGTTTTAATACATTCTTAGGCTGAAAGAGACGTGCAGACACATGGAAGTTACATTTGTAAATGCAAAGAGAAGAGTTCTGCGTCCGTAATGTGTTTTTCCATCAGCTACCTTGACGATATGTTGAAAAGATGAGAAGTGACTTTAATGAATTTGATTTGTCTCTTGTGATCCTGTGGTAGTAGAAGAAGAACGGAGACGTCTATGTGTAGTTGAACCCGTGGTCACGTTTACCTCTGAAACCTCCGGATTATTTCAGCGTCCTGATGAAGGCAGGATGAACTTTTATTCAAACTTGGAGTGTCATGAGAGCGGGTGCGTTTCTGCTCTTTTACCTCCTGAATCCTCCAATCAGACTCATCCGAGCCCCCGGCAGCACGGACGCGACGGCTTCCTCCACGACGGCGGCGACGGCGTCGGCCTCGGCCCTCGTGACGGGCTGGTTGAGGTCTTCGTAGTGCCGCAGACCTAAAGAGACGACAGCGCGTTCGCTCAGAGAGGAACGAGATGAACTACAGAGCCAATGCAGACGGAACACTCGCCTGCTTGTTGAGCTCGATTGAGCGTTTGCTCTGAATGCTGCAGCTGCTGGAGGCTGACGATCCCCTCTCTGATCCACCGCTCGGCTGTTTTCACTCCAACTCCAAAAATACCTGTTAAAACCTGAAATACACATAAAAGACCCCCGTGTGATACAGCTCAGACGTTGATCCGGTCAGAAAAAGTACTTTTAAAAGTTTACTAAATGGGAATAAAACATAAATAAACATATATTTTCATTTTCTATCAAGAACATCCGTCTATTCTCAAAACACTGAACCTTGTGTTGTAAGGTCAGAGGGCATGCCGCTGTAGCTTTTATCAGACAAACAGGAGTATTTGTTGGGGACTATTTTCAGCAGCGGATGAATCCACATGTGAGTATCTGTATGTGGGATGGAGTCAAATAAACTACAGTGTGATTGTGATGATGATGATGATGATGATGATGAAGGAACAACAGTGAGGCTCATTGATGTGTTTTTAATAAAGAGACTTCGGGCTGTGAGTAGTAATACTTGTTAAATAAATGTACTGTTGGTGTTTTTATGGAGTTTGTTGACGATAAGAAAGAAAATAGAATATCAGCAGAGCGACTACAGCCACTAGGTGGAGCTAAAGAGAGAGACTCGCTTGAGGGGGACACCAGTATAAAAGCTACTGCAAGGAATTGTGGGAAACTCAACATGCGACTTCTAGCAGATTATTGTTCAAGAAATGTTTTTAACTGAAAAACTGAGATCAATGTTAAGACTTCAAGAAAGAAAAGTGTGGAAAATGTATTAAAACTGTTTTGTTTTTGTTCCTGTTTTCTCGCCATCATTGTTTCATCTAAAAGATCCGTTTTACAAATAAAGATTTAAGTGGAACAGAACTAATCCGTGTCTGCTTGTGACTCAGTGACCCGAGTGGTGAGACGTGTAAACAAAGACAGGAAGTTAAAATTATGTTTGATTTCACAAGACTTTTTAAAACACATTTTTGTGAATGAGTAATATCTTTTATCTTTCAAAACAATTTATCCTCATGACATTATGATTTATTACTAATATTACTCTAGATTGTTTAAAACGTGTCTTTTCTGTGATGCAATAAAAACATTTGTTTCATAACTTAACGTAAATGTAAAGTTATTCCAGAATGTTAAAATGTTTAATTTAAGAGTTTTAAACATATTCTGATGATTATCTGAATAAAAAGATGGTTGATCGCAATTATTTTGGACGTGATAATCTGCATACTGCAATATAATGCTGCATTTGAGTTTATCGGTAAAAAAACGAACCTTCAGCGCTTTAAACCGCTCGGACTGCTTCGTAGCTTCGACTTCACTCGACGCTCCGTTCTCCAAAACGTCCTACGAGGACAGAGACAGGAACGTGTCACTGGGACTTCTTTAAATGTGATGAAGTAGATAAATAGCATATTAATCTTCATGCTGACTTTGATGACTCTGAGCGAATGTCCTCCGAGACACGGGAGACCTCTGAGCTGCGTCAAACCCGTCACGGGTTCGGGGAGAAACTTCAACACGGCGGCGGCTCGTCGAAATGCGACGCCTCGTCCGTCCTCGTCGCTGAGCTCAGCGTTTTCAGCCAACAGCGACAACGCGTCCTGAGACAGAAAACACTATATTTAATCTAGAGTTATAGTTTTAGTTAACCTAAGTACACTTAGATATATGAGATCTGTGTTGTCTGGGGGGAGGGCTTACGGTGAGGACGGCGTTGTGGTTGTCCAGAGTGGTCCGTCTCTGACAGGCGTAGCTCGGTGTTGAAAAGGCCTCAACCTCCACTTCATTAATCTGCTGCTCCTGAAAGAGACACAGGAGGACTAAACGAACATTTTCTCATAGACTTCTATACAACCAGAGGAGTCGCCCCCTGGTGGACACTAGAGAGAATGCAGCTTTAACACATGAAGCTTCGTCTTCACTTTAATGAACCGGAGGTTCTTTCCCGGTTTGGATATTTGTCGAGCACTCCGCTCTCCTTAACGCTACTAAATAGAAACCTTTTTTTGAGTGATGGGTGAGCAGAATATTTATTTTGCTCACAGTACAATAACACATATTTACATATTTACATTTTTGCTCTTTTTTTTGTTTCTTATTCCGGTTATTTTCTTATTTATTTGGGAAGTTGTTCTCAGAAGTGTTTTAACAATCAGAAGTACCTCCATGAAGGATTATTAGACTGCATCGGTTTTCTCCACATGAGTATAAATAATAATATAATATATTGTTGTTGCATATGAATTGCTATTGGAGATATGAAGGATTTCACACAAATAATTACAACTAAATGACATATTAATTGCTAAATAACATCGGTGATTGAAATGTAAGGATTTGTGATAATATGAATAAACAAAGGGGCAGATATAGAAGAAGTGAGTCTCGTGATGATGTGTCTTCTCAGGAGTTAAAGTCAAGCGTACCTGTAGTTTGTGTCTGTCCAGTATTTCAACGGGACGTCCCGCCCGCATGCTCTCTGTGAACCAGCTGACGTCCAGCAGGTGAGCAGGTGATCGGCCTCGACCTCCGACCTGAGACTCCAGCCACCTTCTGACCTCCTCACCGGAGTTATTCTCACAGATCACGTGTGTGACTCTCTCACTGTGGACAGACAGCATCCGACATGTGATGCACAGACACACACAGACTGTAGCTGCAGGTAGGACAGGTGGTATTTTTGTGTTTAATGCTTTCAATCAACACATGATAGATTTGTATGTTTGATTTAAGAAGTATTTAAAGAAGAAAAATGTCCCATGTGAATGTTCTACTGCTATTTATTCTATGATTACATTATTATGACTCATGCGTTAATGTTAAAGCAGGATTTTACTGTTGGCTGAGCTCTTTTTAAACTATTAACTCATTTTTTCACTAATATTTGAATATAATTAAAATCACTATGAATATATTAATATTATTCAAAATATCACTAATACAGTAACATTATTAAAGTATTACTAATACATTTTTCACATTATAAAAAAGGAAAGCTGGAAGGTGAAATGTTTTAACATTTATTTGTCAAAAATAGTTTTTAATTTATTTTCTGTCAATCGACTAATCCTTTCAGCTGTACTTGTAAACACTGTTTGGTAGTTTAAATTCACACAAAACATTATATTTTATAAACTTTTCGTGTGTTTTCTTAATTTGTGAAGTACAGCTGTCAGATAAATGTAGAGGTGTAAAAGTATAAAGTGGTACAAGTACCTCAAATACCTGAGTAAAAGTACCACCACCACGTATCTCTGCTATAAACTTTAATGTCTCTGCATATCATTAAATGTCACCTGCACTGCTCCTCCACCTGGAATCCGTTCTTTCCTCCGAGCTGAGAGAGGAAAGCTCTTCGACTGGCTCCCATCTTCCTCTCCAGCAGAAACAAAACCACCTGAGGGAACCTGGTGGGTGACGTGACGTCATCGCTCCCAGCACCGGAAGAGACGACTTTCCTTCTCTTTAATGGCACCATGTTGTTAAACGAGACGTCAATCCACCCGATAACACGACGAGTCCTCGGCTCGCTCTGAGGTAGGTTAGCGGTACAGAAAGCCACAGAAGAAAAGCTGCAAACGTCTTCTGTGCAAAGAGCGCAACCGGATGCAGCTGTGACGGTGCGCCGACTCCACCTGCGCGTCACCAAAATAGTTCCGACTGGAAACTGCGCGATACGCTCAGACTGCCCGTTTAAAGGCCATGGAAGACCATCACTGTCATTATACATATTATGAATCAATATGAATCATAGTTCAAACTCAGATATGGTATGTCCGAATTAATTATTATATTTTACACTAATAATAATTATAATAATAAAACTATTATCATTATTAATAATAATGATTATTATTATTTGATTTGGTAAATCAACATTTTACTTACCACCTCATAATCCTGACGTAGTATTACATTACATTTTTTTAAATTTAGTATCTCAAAATTTGTATTAACTTCCACATCGTTTAGACATTTTTTGCAAATTGTAAATTATAGGATAATTGTATCCAATATATAAAACGTATATTTGGCTCAGAGATGTAGTGGAGTAGAAGTGTGAAGTTCAATAAAACTCAATAAAAGTTCAAGAACTTACATATACTTTCCACCACTGACCTTGGCTGATAAATACTGGTTCTTCTCCTATAATCACATCATAGATGACGAAGATCTTCAGCTCTTCACTCATTTCATGGTCAGACATGACTGCAGTGATTACTACCTGCTGTACAAAACCTCATCAACAGCTGCAGGGAAATAAAAATGATCTGCAGCTAAATTCAGAGATCTTTAAGACGTCATGTACGGATCATTTAGTTCTCACCTCTACTCATTATGATCTACAGATAAGCTCACTGACTCATGACGTAACTTAAGGCACATTAAATAATAAATAAACTATGATGTTTTTGCACAATAATGTCATATTATGTTTGGATTTGAATATTTTACTCAATAAAAACTCAATATATATCTTCATGGAAGTGCTTCAAAAGGAAGATTATCCTGTCGTCAAAAATCTTTAAATTAGAAGAATATAATAATGTCAAGCAGTGAAATAAACCATTTGATCTACAGTAACTCTGAAGCTATTTAAGAGGAAATACATGGGAATATTAATGGTAGATTGGTTTCAGATCCTCTTTCTATTTACATTTCAGTTTTATTTTTCATGAAAAGAAATCTACAGCAAGACACTGTAACATCTGGCAATATATCAGACAACATTGATATTACATTTATGATATTGTACAAAACATGTTTGATGTCATTTTTTAGAAACTGTAAAAAATACAAATGTTGTTCACATTTCTTTAATAGCTGAATCTAAAGGACCTTTATCAAAATGTCTTCCTCTATTATATATTTATGGAAGAAAGAAAAGTCTGAATATTAACCAATATATTGGTATCGGCTTAAAAAATCTTTTTATATATATATAAATATTTAAAAAATAAAAATAAAAATAAAATGTTGACTTCCCCATGGAGATCAATTAAGTGTTAAATAAAAAAAATGAAAGACTAAATATTTTAATATAATTCAATACAATATATTCAATCATAAATACATATAAATAGATAAAATTAAATATATTTATATACATATATCATATTAAATTAGTATAGTATTGGGAAAATCTCTATAAAAGTCTCTATACTGGATATACTATCATATTAATTTAGTAAATTAGAATTTAGTGTTAATGACGTTCTATATCGCATTGATATGATATTAAATTAGTACACTAGTAAAATTAGAAATAATGTTATTATATTTAAATTACTATTTATATTGGAATGAAGACAATATAAAAAATATAATGAAATATAATTGAATATAATGAATTACAATATAATAGCTTATTTTTTAAATAAAAGTATCCTTTGTAATATTATATTATATATTATATAATTTAATTTCTAATGAAATATAATAATTATAATTTAATTATGTTATATTTAAATTAAACATGTAGCATGGGATTCTTCCATAGTAACTAAGTATCAGCAGCAGTGAAGAGGTTTTGGTGGTGCAGAAGTAGTATAAAGTCCACGTGGTACAACGTGTTCTCGCTCGTGACTCCTCCCACTCAGTCCGATCATATGACTGCAAACAGCTCGGCTCCACTTCCTCAAACTCCACTCTTCTGTCCAGCCTGCGCACTCAAGTCAACAACACGTAACGTTACCTCCCCTCAAAGCAGGAAACGAAACCGAGCTTCGGTCGGTAGGTCGCACACAAACCGGCGTGGCGTGTCCGCGTGCAGTCTGTGCAGGGGGTCCCCAAATGGCAGGTCTGAGGCTCCTCGCGCTGCTGCTGCTCACCTGCTGCGCCAGGTGTGCTGCGTCAGGAGGAAAACCGAGCAACATCATCCTCATCCTCGCCGATGACCAGGACGTTTATCTGGGGGGGATGGTGAGTGGACCCCTTCTGGGAAAACGCGTATCAATAAATCACCTGTATTGATCTTAAAGAGACTTCTACCTGTAAACACACACCTGTACGTGTGTTTATAGTAACCTAGCATTGAGTTTAGAGTCATTTTATCATACTTTATGGTGTTTTATAACCTTAATATCCATAAAATACAGATATAGACGCTTAAAGCTGGATTGCTAAATACAGGAAGATATTTTTGGCTGTTGAAAGTCGATTAATCAATGAGTTGATGAGCAGAAAGTTCATCTGCAACTATTTCAAGACAGCGTAACACTTTAGTATATATATATAT